GAAAGAAACTATACTAGATCCTGAAAGGGCTACTGCTTTGCTGCTGAAGGTGATTAGATCCTGTGGTAATAATGAAGGAATATAACACAGTTTAACCCCATTGTGTTAGGCAAAATAGCCTTCCCAGAGACCCTACAGGTTATCTCAAATTCCATTTCTTGTGAAATATGTAGTGGTGTTTCATTAGTACAGGAGGACATAAAAAACACATTAAGTGTCAGAATTCTTAAGGTTCAACTTTCAGGTTTTTTCTTACTCAGTTTAATTTGGAATTAATGTAAAACATTGAAGTAGTCTTCCCTGAGAAGACTGCAATTTTAAATCTCCACATCTGTTTACCCATTATTGTCTAGCATGTTACATTTAAGAAAAAACTTACATTTGAAAATAATCACAGATATAGGTGGATTTAGGTTTACATTTATGTTCTACATACAGCATTTATGTTTAATACTCAGAGTGCTTTCCAGAATTATTTTCATAGGAAAAAAATTACTTACTGGGAGGAATATTTAACTTGATTTCTGTCCAGAAAATACTTGATGTTTCATTTCCTGAAACTAAAGGGAATGTCAGTTGGTCTAGGGCTCTGTTGACACAAATCTAATATCAGGTCTGACCCATTAACGCTATTCTTAAATGTTCAAACTGTAAAAGTTTGCATATAGATCCGTATTTTGGAGGTAATTAAAAATATAAATTTTAACTTAGAACAAAGCAAGTGCCATTTAGAGGCTTAAAACTGAATTTATTTTTAAATGGATTATTCTTTCAGGTTCTATTTCCAAGCCTGAGTGTCTCAACTCAGGCATGCAAGTCCGCTAATTCAGACATTCACCTAGATTTAAGGGGGCAGGGAAGCTGGTGCCCAAACAATTATTTCAATATGTTATCACCAAGCACCAACATTTGAAAATTAGCATGTTGAACTGTAAATACCAGCTCCTCCTCACATTTTCAGAAGCAGATGAGTAAAAATCTTGCTTCAATCTGGTCTATGATGCTCTAGCAAAAATGAGTATTTGGAAATTATAATTGACAGGCGTAATCCTTAAAAAGGTTTTCACGCCAGTTTTCTAAACAATACAATTTACAGAACAATTGTGAAACATTAGCAGACTTGCTTCAGTCCTTGCAATGGGTATGCTTGTGCTTTTATCTGAAAAGACTGAGATATTGCAAAGCTTGAAGTTCAAAGGCAATCTTGTAAATGTGAGATAAAAGTCCACCAAATTTTTGTTATTCTGGGATATTTCATCCAAAAACTAAGTCTCATTTCAAAATCTCAGAGATACTTCTAGAACTGTGAGGAGGAAAAGATAATGGAGGAAAAGATGGTGAATCAAGAGGTTAACATTTGGATAAGAAGCTCAGATAGTCAGCAACACCTGACTTCATAATGTATTAGTATTTTAATACGTGACTGCTAGTAACATTGTATGAATGTTTTTCCTTCCAGGAATCAACTCAATTACATCACAGAAGAACTTAAAAATCCTTACAGGTAAAACTATGTAGGAAAGCAGTGCTTCTAATGACAAAAAACCAAACCCAAACTTCATATTTTTCTACAAGCAGACATGTATTTGGTTTGTTTTTAAAAGCAATGGTTATTCAAGGTTTGAGCACTGACAAAGCTAATTAGCATCTATTACAGGCTTCAGAAACTTGCATAGATTTGTATTTTTCCTTTTTTAAAATCCTGATTTCCATGGCTCTACAATAAAGAAATGTAACACGTGTAAAAAGCATATGGGGAAAAGTAAGAGTCCACAGTTTACTATGACAGCTCTACCAGTGATAAAGCAATGCTGATGGAGTCTTACTTTTGCCTTCTTTAGAAATCTACCGCTATCTATAATTATTGGAATCCCCTTGGTTACAGTTTGTTACGTTCTGATAAACATTTCATATTTCACCGTAATGACTTCAACAGAACTCCTGCAGTCCCAGGCAGTTGCTGTGGTAAGCCACTTTATTTTGTAATAGAGCATCTGAAGAAGGCTGTGTGCATTAAAGTCATAACCAAAAAGGAACCTGTAATTTTTCTTAAGACACAATCAATTTCTAAGTTGTCAGTGTTACCTTTTCCCCATTATCTACTGTCATTTATTAATCTGAATTTTATTTCAGTAATGCTTAAACAGTAGTTCTGTCATATCCCAAGAAAAAAAAAAAAGGAAGCAAGAGTCATGCAGTCTTCAGCTAACATTTTGTAAACAATGCATGCCACTCAGAGGTTGACTGTTTTCCCTAAGCACCAAAAAGATGGAAGGAAAAGTAACAGCCAAGTGCTGCTTTGCCCTTTTCAGTGCTTCCAGTATTTCTGAGAAATAAGCACATGCAAAATGACAGTAGATCAAAGCCTGTCATTCTGGAGATCAGCACAAAGTAGTCCATAATTCACTACTTCCTTATTCTTGCTTTTTTTCTTAACAAAGCTAAGAAATAGTCTTTTTACATTATTGCAAGATATAATCTTTAATTTTAGCTGAAATAGTATCTAAATTTTTAAAATCTTAATACATTTGTCCTTTCAGTTCCACTCAGTAAACTTTCTGTGGGATGTTTGTCTCAAACAACTGTTGATGTCATGTAGGAATTTTTCCTGATGTTAGCTTTTGGGGAAAACAAACAGTAGTTACGAGACATGCATGCAAAATACAGTTTAGTACAGTAAAGTACACTAATTTAGAAATACTTAAAAATGTTAAAAAACCCACTTTTAAAATGTAGAACTTCGGTGCATTTCAGCATGTTGTTTGCACCAAGGGGTACAGCAACGTATGTATCAATTAAATTATATCTTGTTAAGAACTAGTTGTCCTCAATACACCACTAAATTTACAATCTGAACAACACACATCAGCTAGCACTAAACTTGTCAGACTAAATTAACAACAAAATCTCAGAACTACCGCTGAGCAGTACACAAAGGCAGCACAGCAAACAGCAAGAGGATTGCACTCTATAAAGAGGTCTATACAACTGTCAGTAACTTTCTGCTTAGCACTGATGAGTGTCCTACCACTGGACAAAGAAACAACACTGATGTTACACTTGCACAAGACCAGAACTCTTTATGCGTAACTTACTAAGAAGAGTTAACCACCCCAAAACTAAAAACCCGAAATCTACCTGTCAAAAAAATTTGAATTCCAATTCATTTACAGTAGATCAACGTGCTTACATTAGATCTAATCCATCCCGTAGTAACAACTAACACACCACAGCACAGGTTAAAAAAAGAGTGTAGTGAAAGACCTTAGCAAGTTTGTCCTTTACTTGTTCACTCATAAGGCCTAGGTTGTCATGCTGTTGCTACCAGTGTTACTCCTTCTTATACAGGTTGAAACCAGCTTGTATATTCACAGGTCTCTGCTGCAATGCTATCTTCCTTTTTGTTTTGCAGACACATCCCCAAAACAGCTGTCTAACAGAATTTAATTTCTGTTTATTTTTTGCATCTGTCTCCCAATGTTCTCCTTCAGATGCTGCATCTCAAAACCCACGACAACAATATTCCACTCTTTATAGAGTGGTTCATGAATTAATCTGCGTCTTCATTTGGCAAAGCATTCTTTAGTAACTACACAAAACATACAACATATGTTTTTATTGGTAACATACCTTAGATACCCATTTACTGTACTTTTAAAGAGGTGCCAACATTACTAAATATACCAAATGGTAGTCAAAATGACAAAAATGATTCATTTTAATTCCATATCCCAGACATTCGGAGATAGAGTCCTTTATCCAGCCTCTTGGATAGTTCCTCTCTTTGTGGCCTTTTCTACAATTGGATCTGCCAACGGGACCTGTTTTACTACAGGCAGGTAAGCTCCCATTCTAAGTATCTTAAAACGAAAGTTTCTAAAGGATGGAAAAATTTATATATGCATTTATGTATCTACACAGGTAAAGATACATTCTTCTGATCCAAATGTACAAAGTGTAACTAAAAAGTACCTGCAAATCTAGCTATATTGTCTAATTTTCTAAAAGAAACAGTGGCTATGCAAGTTGAAAAATTAGAAAGGTCGGTCTCTTATTCTTAATTCAAAGCAGGTATAGCACAAAAGGGTTTTCTCACATCTCGTCAAGTTTAAAGCTAAGAATGAAACAGTTAAAATTATCAGTAAGAACATGACTACACCAGTAATGGTAAGAATTCGAAAAAGAAGCTATTCCTTTCTAGCAGTTGTTCAACACTTTCATTTACTATTTAAAAATGTTTTAAATTTCAAACATATCTGAATACAATAGGGCTGTAAAGACCAATTTGTTGGCACAAGGTTGTCAATGTAGGTTTTTAACATGAAGCAAATTAAAAAGGAAATATTTCAAGGGCCAGAATAGCTAACTTTTTTCCAAAATAATTTTAAATTAAATGTGCAAACAATTCTGAAATTAGTTTGAAATTTACTACTTTAATATCAGATCAGAATTAGTTTCAAGTTCGCTGCTTTAATACTGGTTATTTCCCTTATTTCAGTCTACTACACTATTCCTTAAATCCCACTGCATATCAAAGGAAATACTGACGAAATTATAGTCAGATGTAGCCACACAAAACACAAACCTGAAAATGAATGGTACTTTTTGTTTTTAGTAACACCACTTAAAAGTCTAGGTGCCACACTAACTAGATTGTCTTGTTTTTGTTTTGTCAGACTTGTTTATGTTGCAGGTCGTGAAGGGCACATGCTAAAGGTGCTATCTTACATTAGTGTTAAGCATTTAACACCAGCACCTGCTATCATATTTTATGTAAGTATACATTCTAAGTACAGAAAAATGATTAACAAAAATTCTCCAGCAATACATGCTTTCATAATTTCTTACCAGCAGTCCTGACATATCTTTGACTATCTATACAAGAAAATTGCTAAATACATATTAGGAAGAGAGACTATATAAAAACCCCCAACTTCTCAATTTGAAGAGCTTCATTCCAGAACTGGATTTTAAAATAAAAATGTTTAAGAATCCACAGCATGAAAACAAATTTAAGAAGTTAAATGAATGATTAGTGTTAGGCAAATCCTTTATTTCACAGGATGCCTGAAAGCAACCTATCACTACCCTATTTCATCCCTATAAGAATGCATTTACATCTCACTAAAAACATTCTTCAGTAAATACATTTAAAAATAAATCTAGAATATTTGTTATTTTTATTTTACCCATTTATCTTACCTTCAAGGCAAAACGTGATAAATTCAAAATTTGATTGCTGTTGATTCCCAGTCACTTCAGTAACCTAAAAATACATTTACTATCTTCACTTACTCCAAGATATACAAGTCAACAACAAAACTGATTAACACATACAAATTTTAAGTCTTTTGACTTGAAATAGAATTAAGATTGCACGCAAAAATATACACACGTTGGCAGGATGTGGAAACTATCTTTAAAGGTGCTACAATATACTTACACCCAAATGTTTAAGCAAAGCATTCACAGATCACACTCTGGAACACTGTAAACATACGCCCATACTGATACATAAGTAAAATTCAGCCTTCTTGTATAACAGACAATACTAATTTTTGTTTTCATTTTTAGGGGGCCGTTGCTATAATTTATATTATCCCTGGTGACATTAACACACTCATAAATTATTTTAGCTTCGCAGTCTGGATATTTTATGGTTTAACCATACTTGCACTCATTGTTATGAGGTTTACAAGAAAGGAACTCAGGAGACCAATCAGGGTAAGTTCAGCATTTGGTATGGCTTTTCCTTCATTCTCATAAGTACTGAAACATGAACTCATCCTAAATACTTGGATATTTAAACAAAGTCCTCAGGCAGACTCCCCCGTGTTTGTTTGAGTTTTTCCCCCCTTACCTGAAACCTAGCCATTTATTTGTGGTTCTTCTCTTTGTTCCAGTTTTGCACTAGGACAAAGCTCATAAGGATTGGGAAAAAAAATTACACAATGTTTATTTCTACTTGCACAGACCATGGGTACACGCCAGATTTTCAGGGATGGTAAACTGCAGCCAGCAGACTACCACTTAAAGAGTACCCGAGATAAGACCCCAGGTCATTGCACTGGAGTCAGGTCCCAGATTCATTAAAATGCAAATTTTTACACTGCAATTTGCAATACAGACAAAGAGATCTTGGTCAATGATTCAGCAGAAGTTTTCCCAATCCATATTCTTGCTACTTTTTCAATTGCCCCATCCAATTCCAGAAATGTGAAAAGTAAAAAGTGCATAAGGCAATAAAAACATTCTTCTTTCATATATGCAGCTTCTGTAAGAATGGGAAAAGAATAAACAAGTAATTTTGTGCTTTCTATCTTGCAGATACCCATCATCATTCCAGTCATAGTGACAATAGCCTCCATTTTACTGGTCTTGGCACCAATCATCAGTGCACCTGAACTGGCCTATTTGTACTGTGTTTTATTTATACTTAGTGGACTTATAGTTTATGTACTTTTTGTTCATTTTAAATTCAACTGGCCCCAAAAAATATCAAGTAAGTATACCTCAGATAGCCAGCTCCAAACATCAACAGAACATTGCTAAGCTTTAGATTAATTACCATGATGAAGCTCATTATATGGTCCATCCCATCTAAATCACATGAGCAGGGTGCAAAGAGAGGCAATTTTTCAGACATAGTGAGGGGCATACAGTGAGCTTTAGTAAAGACTGTATTTCACTCCTTCCTGTGAAAAAAGTGATGTCTGACTTCAGGAAAAATTAAATTTAATTCACAAAAAAGCAATACATCACTGTAGGAGCACAAAGAAACTGGCTTTTAAAGTGAACAGAACTATTTTATCCATAAAGTTAGTTTTTTGATTCTTCATATTTCAAAACGCTGCTTTAGCCATTAGCTAAAGATCAGCAGACACACATTCTTATACCACAAAATCCTGTGCTTTTAGCTCAGGATATCAATTTTACCATACTAAAGAAAACATTAACAGCATTAAGACCAAAAATAATCACAGTGTTGCTGAGTAAAGTGAAAACTGCAAGAATCCCGTGTGACCATTTGTAAAATGATTTTGCCTAGTCTCAAGAGAAACTCTTTGCAATTATCTCAGGGAAAACAGGATACATCAATATTTCTAAAAGGGAAAGTGGAACCAGCTGAAGAGGACAGAATTAGTAGTTCTGCAGACATTAAGAAAAAATTCCATCATGTGTCTCTCCTGCCCCCCTGGATTATTAAATATTATGTTATTATGCAATTAGAGGCATTGTACTCTAAGAGCAAGTTCAGAAACCTGAGAATGTTGTAGCTTGGATATTAAGATTCTTTTTATTTCCCACCTCTTATTTTTCAAATTTGAGATATGAATACAGAAAAGACAGACAACTACTCACAAGGATAATTTTCTCACTTAGAAAAATAGTATACAGACCTCAATAGAAATACTGTTCTCTCATAAAGCCTCTAACAATAACTTTTTTTTTCCCCTCAGAGCCCATCACTATGCATCTTCAGATGCTTTTGGAAGTTGTTCCAGAAGAGGAAGTTATTGAATAAAATATTTTGTATGTACCAGGTTGTTTTAAAGTGCTATACTGGTTGAAGGAGATTCAATTTAGTTTGGCACACATTTGTACTTTCTGAATTCTTATGTTCATATTGGTGTATTATTTTTGCAACACTTTAGTACTTGAAAAATATCAAATACATAAGAATAAAAGATTTGAGCCAGATTACAGTGTCCAGCAGAGTTGTTTTCTTTGTTTGTTAACATGTTACAGTATCTTGTTTTCAGCATTAAAATTATTCAAAATAATTCAATTATGAAGACAGCAAAACTTACCAGCAACACTGTCAAGATGCTTTTGATCACACTAGTGAAAGAATGAAGCAGCTATCATTTACAGCACCACATTCAACAGGCCATGCAGAAACGAGAGAAATGATGTAAAACCAGATTAACTCCGTTCTGTTTCTCAGATCAAACATGAGCTATCAAAAGACTATTGAAGTGGGAATCAAGTAAAAATGGACAGAACAGTTAAAAAAATCAGCCTCTTTCTGTTAATTAAAACAAGATTATCAATTAAAGCCTAATTTCTCAGGTATCTGTTGTTATCTTCAACACCATCCAAGTTATAGAACAGCAAGTAAATGCCACAAATTATCCTCAGCATGAAAGTTACCTACTTTACAGAGGTAACTTCATAATCCTAGAAATACTCCATTTGGTAGCTGATAAAAAAAAAAACCCACACAAAATAGGTACTACATTAACATATAGACATAAGCAGCTTTCACTTTCCCTGCCCAAGAAACTTACGGATTCTGGGTAACATTCTTTACTAGCATATTCCCTTGGTGCAAATGGATAAAAAAGGCATTTTATCAAGTTACTTGTCAACATTTTAAAGTGATTAATTTGTGAAAGACTGTTTATACTGAAAGCACAAGTCCTCTCAACAACTTCTAAGCATGTTAATCCTAAATATATAACAAGAATATTAAGCAATAGGATTAAGATCTTAAGTCCACACAAACTCTAGCCTAGCAAATTCAACTAAGCAGCTATTTCTATCATCCTGCAGCTACAAAGAAATAAATAAAACTGAAGTTCCTATATATTTCATTTTGCGTCTACCTACATGGAAATACAATCCCAAAGGTACATATAAAAATGATGGGTTCCGATTCGTTTGAAGGAGATTTTGTGCTTATAGTCAGATCCACGAAAATACTAGCTCCATGTGCAATCAGGGTAAAACAAAAGCAAAAAGGTGGTTAAGAATGACTAAGGAAGGCAATGGAGAACAAAAAAATTCTAATTACATCATTATACATAAAGTGCCTACTTGCCACAGTGTTTTGTCTCAGTCACACTACTACAACTGCTGTTCCCCTACCCCAGCTGGTAAAAATATCACTTCAAAACAGAATTACAAGGTTCAGGGAAAGACCAAAGGAATAGAATACTTCTGTATATGGAATGACTATCTAGTACAATTTTGAAGGTTGAAAGAGAGATACATGATCAGGAGATGAGTGTAAAAATGATGACAGAGGTTCATAAGCAGAGTCCTAAGTGATAAGAAAAAGGGAAAAGCAAGCTATCTGTTCCCATTACATCTTGAGTGTACAGGATTTCAAGGAGAGAAGGGATGGCTTCAAAACACAGGAAAAAAAATACCACATTTCTTCACAAAATACTTGTTTGACTATTGAATTCCTTAGTGCAGGAGAAATGTCAGAAGTTGACATAGGTTCCAAAATGCAAGTGAACTAATTCAAGTAAGTTGTCCACAGAAAATCTCTCCCTCATGAAGACTTTGATCAAAAATTGCTTGAGACCAGAAGAATATTCTTGGAGAGTATTGCTACATTTTTTACGCTGTTCTTTACAGACTGGCTCTTGGCAGCTGCTAAGAATGTATAGCTAAAACCAGCTTCTGCTTCCACCTCATGTAAGGCGTCTTATTTTTCTAACAAAAAATAGAGATAATTTATGTCTACTAAATAATCCACTAGATTTATCTACCAGCAGAAAAATCACCTTATGTTATATTGAGGTATCAGACAAGTCAAAGAACAACAAAACACTAAAAGGAAAACATCCTGCCCCATCACTTTTTTTCCTTCAAATAATCGATTTGACAGTCTTCTGTTTGCACCACAATACAGAGCAAGACCAAAATAGTTACACTAGCTGTTTCCTTAAGTACTTTTACAACAAATACAGCTTTGCAAGTAACTGTACTCAGGTGAAGATTATAATTTATAATCTCAGTTGCAGTCAGGTTCCCAGCAGCAATGTTAACCATACATTAACAATTGCAGCTGTTTGTCACACAGCAGTTTTCCACTACAATCAGCAATATTCTTAAATATTCTGAAAGAAGCAGCTTTATTATATGCTAATACTAGGAAAACTGTAACTGTCAGTGTAAACATTAATGCAGTCCTTCTCCCATTCTTGAAGTAAAGACATCCCAATGTTTCTTGAAAGAATAATCCCCAACAAGCAAGAATATTCCTCCTAGTCAAGAACACAACAAAATTCTAGGCTTTTTAAAATAAATCTTTAAAGTTAAGTCTCTATTCTAAATTTCCATATAGTTATGCTGGGGAAACTAATGCGCTTTAAAATCTACAGATGCACAGAGATCGATGCCAGACTCATTTCTTATAAATATCTTTTACATTACTACTTCATTGCAAGATGTTCTGGATGCACACAAATCTAACAGTGAAAAATTATTTACTGAAAGATGGTATATTAAAAGGCAAAGCCTTAGGGCTAAACAGACAAGATTTTATTGTTCATTTGCAAAGGAGAAAAGGAGTTTTAGACAAATGAGAGGGAATGAATTAAGAGCATTCATGAAAAGTGAAAATGTCAAACTGAAAACAAATACTGAATCTACTATCACAGTGCTCATTCCACAAAAGCTGTACAGCAGTTAGTTACTACAGTGAGCGGCACTGTGCAATATTTCATACCAACTCAACATATTTCCAATCAAGTAACAAAAATTGCCATTGAGTTGAGGCATCATTTTTTAATGTAGAACTGACAAATGTGATTATTGCCAACGAACCGATACTGTATGAATATAAAGGACAAGGTAGAAACAACCTATGATCTGGATTTCTGAAACTTCAAAAACTATTAACTATTGCTAACACAGCAAAATCACTCAGGTAAAGTAAACCAGAAGCTCTGTAAGACTAATATATTCAACTGTTTCACAACCCAAATTTAATCTTTAGATTTTACTGTTTGAACAGCACACATACATATGTGCACATCATCATTAAAGCCAACAATTTTAAAGTGAATGCACTGGAAAACATACACAATGTTTCTCTAAAGAGTATTTCTTCAGAATCTCAGAGCCCAAAGGTAAGGAGTTTGTTCACTATTTCCCTCCTAAAATTAAGGACAGTTCTGCAACCTATATGTTTAATTTTACAAATTTTAGTGGAAATACTCATGCAAGAGACAATTTTGAAGCATAATTCTTATCAGAGGAAAAATATCTGTCTCCAAATTACTCATCACTTTCTGTTCCACTGTCTTCTGAGTCAACCAATTCTTCAGTTACTGCAGCAGTGCAATACAGTTTTTTAGTACCTAGAAGTAATTAACAGTGTAACATTTACAAAGGAAGAAAAAACAAGAGCCTCAGAACAAATATGTAATAGTATAAAAAACCAAAACAACCAAACCCACCACACTTTAAACTATGAACTAAACCAAAACACTAAAAACTACTTCAAACTGCTTTTTGTCTGTGCTATTCTGATAGAAAAATACCCTGATGCCTATAGTTTGCTATTAGAGGAGTCCTCTCATCTGTTTTCAGAGAATTTGAGCAAGCCAGCTAAGTGTCACATATCTGAAATAAGTGAGTACTTTTGATAAAGCCTATGCAAAAATGAGGATGCTAATTATTTTATGCATTATAAATACCGACTCGTTCATTCCTTACCAACTGGAAAAGGGCTTTTATCTTCAAAATCTTCCCAGTGTTCAAAATCAAAAGACACATGAGGATTCTGTTGACAAAAACATTGTTCAAAATACCTGCACTGATGTGCAGTGAATGTTTAGAACATTCAATATTCTCAAATTCATTTCCACTTCACCTTGTTCTTCAGTAATTTGCACCATGCTCTTTTTTCCTCTTTCACAAGAACAATAATAGCCTCTTTATCATTAATCACACATGTAGACTTTTCTGCAAGTATGTATTGATGCAGCTCCATGTCAGCCAAATAAAGTTTGTCTCCTGAACAAGCACTACATTATAAAAAAGTTTTAAAACAAAATTAAATGCAAGCCAACAGTCAAACATTCTGTTTATTATACTTAAATTTCTTAAACCTACCTGAAAACCACCTTCTCTTTAGAGAACTCACATTTCCAGTCAGCTACACTTGCTATTTTTACCTTCACTGTAACAGTCTCTTCGTTTTGAAACCACTTTATTTCTGGATAAAAGCTAAAGTAAAGAAAGTTTAATTGTGTGGTTCCCCCCCGCCCCGCCCCCCTGAAATAGAAAACAACCAGGTTTTCATAGAATCATAGAATGGTTTGGGTTGGAAGAGACATTAAAGATCATCTCATTCCAACCCCCTTGCCACAGGCAGGGACACCTTCCACCAGACCAGGTTGCTCAAAGCCCCATCCAACCTAGCCCTGAACAATTCCAGGGAGGGGGCATCCATAACTGCTCTGGGCAACCTGTGCCACTGCCTCACCACCCTCACAGTGAAGAATTTCTTCCTGATATCTAATACAAATCTTCCCCTCTTCCAGTTTAAAGCCATTGCGTCTTACCCTATCACTCCATGCCCTTGTAAAATGTCCCTCCCCAGCTTTCTTGTAGGCCCCTTTTAGGTATGGGAAGGCTGCTCTAAGGTCTCCCTGGAGCCTTCTCTTCTCCAGGCCAAACCACTCCAACTCTCTCAGCCTGTCTTCAGGCAATACCAATAGGCAGAGACAGAATGGTAGGAGTGAGAATTTAGACCTCAAAAAGGACAGTCTTTGGTTAAAACATAATCCAGATGAG